ATGTATATGTATATATACATCATATTATACATATACATATTTATTTATGTCCTTATACATCTATATATTTATCCATCTATCCACATATCTATCTGTTTGTACGTGCACCTATGTAGTAGACATTTTTTTTCCAGTCCAAGTCCATCTACCTCAGTCAACTAAAGGTTAAAAAATCAATCCTATACGTTGTCTTGCTGTCGGCTGTGTGCGTGATTGGCTCTTCGGGTTTCATTTCTGACAATACCCCCACGAACTTTCTCGCAAAACAGAAGTTATGGAGTGATGAAGTTATTGCCAGGGCTGGAATTCTACGGGAGTTCGCCTGCTAAACGGAAACAAAAGACGGCCATCGGATGGTGACGTCATTTTGGATTTTTTTTCCGAAGGCCGTATTTTTGTTATTTTGTATGACTACAGATGGTTAGATGCAAATAAAAAGTGTTTAAAACAATATTGAGGTGTTTTCCCATGTTCAAATAAATCAAACATGAAAATTACTGAAACCATCCTAGTATGACCTGATATAATGTGGCAGACACGTCAGCTGGTCTTCTAGCTAAGCATCATAAAAGTAGAACCACAGTCCCATATAGTGACTTTAAATCTTCATCCCTACAGCACACTCACTATGAATAGTCGTATCCTTTTTAGATAAATCAAGTTTACAGGTTCAATGTCGCATTTTCTTAAGTTATACATCGAAGACATTTTCTATAAAGATGCGGGTGCATTTTATGTTGTAAAAAATTTGCTTGGTAATTCATTGATTGTAAACTGTTTTCGGCAGGGAATCTTACAATCACCAGACGCTGATCCTACGTACTGTAACTGGAATCTAATATTTATCCGTATGCGATAGTGCATAGTCCAACTTCATTATTTACATCCGTTTTCTTTATCACCTGATGTTTAGAAAACGGCAGAATGCTGCTACGGAAAAGGGGGCAGCACTGGCTATTATTACTTGAAATGTCTTTGTTATTGCTGTCTTTTCATGGTATCCACACGAATAATCAATAGATGATTAAAACTCTTCGTACCATTACGTCAACAAAGTGGTTTCGGTTAAATCTGTGGAGCAATGAAGGTTCGAGAGCTATACGAAGTCTAACATAGTTACGTACTTTCGATACCGCACATGAAGAGGCGATATTCATCAGATGGAAATACCTACGGTCATCCTATATAAGCATCAAGGATATACGTAAAATATCATAGGAAAATAATGCAATAAAAAAAAAAAAAACGAAAATTGGGATTGTGGTCAGATATGTAACGAGGGGTGATATCAATTCCATTCTTGAGTTATGAAAATAACCTGAGATGTACAAGACATGAGACATTAATCTGGTTTCGCAGACGATGGCGTTTCGGATATGAAATGATTATTGAATGCTAACCTTTGTATGAATCAGAATTTTTGATGTTTTATTTTTCATTATATTTTATTTGCCCTTTTTTTGGGGGGGAGGGGAGGGGTTATAAGCAGTTTCCAGTTTCATATTATCCGCTCGAGCTCATTTGATATAGGTAACAATCAATACAGATATTAAATTGCAATATACTGTTCTAATCGAACGCTACTATAGAAATGTTTCTACCATTTAAAACAAATCTGAAAGGAAGGCAAGTTCAATAGTCAAAACTGTTTTTACTTAGCTGTACAAATGTGTTATACAGACACTAATGCAACAAGCCTAAAGTAAATACGCCAATGAGCCTCAGAAACTACGTAAGCCATTTTAAACTACCAATTGTGTTAACCTTTCTTTTCTCATACCGCTAGGCTGGCAATATCCACACGAGCTGACGAGGACAGAGAAATGAGCGAGGTGTATCCAGGCTTTTTATTGCTACTTGGAGAGATCTCATTAGAAGTAGGAGTAGTTTCAAGGGCACACTCTCCGCCTCGTGTTACATTGGCTTTTCCAAATCGGGCTTTTGGCGGACCTGAGCTGGGGTATCTCCTGGAGGTTCTTCCGTATTCTTTGTACGTTTGTTTTGGGATGCTGGAGTGTGATGATGGGCTCCATGACGGGGATGGGCGGTGTTATCCAACACTAACCCACTAACAGAAACAAATGAAAAACATTGTGTAAGCGTCTACGTTCATTAATGCCGTAGGGTTTTCAAAGATTACGTCGGGTTTGGAAACGATGGAAAGAGCTTAATCAAGGTCTATAATAATATTATATAGACCTTGGGCTTAATTATGTGTATGCTCTACGTTCATTAATTTGTAGGGTTTTCAAGATTAGTCGGTTTGGGAAACGATGGAAAGAGGTGGCTTATTCACGGATAATGGGTGATATATATATATATATATATATATATATATATATATATATATATATATAATATATATATATATATATAATATATATAATATATATATATATATATATATATATATATATATATATATATATATATGTATGTGTGTGTGTGTGTGTGTGTGTGTGTGTGTGTGTGTGTGTGTGTGTGTGTGTGTGTGTGTGTGTGTGTGTGTGTGTGTGTGTGTGTGTGTGTGTAAAGAATATATGAATACATATTGAGAAAATATTTGAGTCATGTGTAAACTGTTGTAGGCCTGCTCTTATCTGTTCATTTTAACTGTATTCCAATGCGTCAATTCTCTCTTCTTTGTAATAATAATAAATGTTTTCTAAAGAGCGGTCTTCACAGATAGGCAGTTTCCTCGCCTGCAATGTCAGTTTACAGTTGACCGCCTATGTGGACAGGCCTCGACTTTCAGTCCCCTTCCTTTCCTTAACAAGCAACGTCTACAGTAGTCCAAGCTTTTTTTTTCCTATTCCGCCTCCAATACATCATAACATATTGTTTACGTTGGTGTAACCGGCGTTTATTAATGCGCGATCCTCTCATTCACTATTGAACGAGGACTAGCGGCCGGTTGTTGGAATGGTGTGAGGCCGACCCAGTGAATATTCATGTGTTTTGCACATGCATATACACAGAAACGATTCAGATCATATATATGCATATACCGATAGATAGATATATTATGATATATATATATATATATATATATATATATATATATATATGATATTATATATATGAGAGAAATAGCTAGATATCCATTTATTTGTGTATATGCATGTCCTTATAAGGAATATTCGCAAGGTCGGGTCCCACTCAATTTTAACAAACTGGCCGTTGGTCACATGACAAAACCCACCCCAGCCTTACTCCTCTTCACCCATTGCATTTTTCTTTCCTCCTCATCATATATTAAATTTCCACTAGGCCTCAAGACCTGCCTCTCGTCGATGTTTTCGGTTCTCCTCAGGGCAAATTTCCTCTTACTTTTGCCATACTGCATATTTCTTCTCTGTGTTTTTCAGCATTACGTTCCTTATTATTCATAGATTATTTACGGTAGATGCGGATCTTGTTTTCCACACTCAACTGTAACAACCTACTCGTGTATTACTAGGACATTACAACATACTCTTGCATTACTCGAGAAATTGTCCTCTGCAGTTCCCGGAATGATGCTACGTTAATATTTATTTGTTTTTAGATAAGCTTTATATCCTATTGACAGCAGTTTCCCATTTCCTTCGGCATTTTTATTAAGAAGCTATTTCATATTTCGTGTTATAATACGCTTCTCAAGTCAATGGCACAATAATGTGAAGACATTCAGACTTCCTCTTTCAGGAAAAGAGAGTGGGCATGCGCGGAGACTGTTTAATTAAGGCACGCTGGAAATACATTTAATTGAAACATGGGCAAGAACGTGCTAAGGTACACGTGTGGCGGGAGGAGGGGGTATTTTTCGGTTAGTAAGTTATTCCCTTCATGGCAATTAATTTGCTTACTTTGCCGCCCAATTACAAGCCTGTACCTTGCTCTCCAATGAGAATCACAAAGTACGCTCCAGCACATACGCAACAGGTGTGTCTACGTAATTGAGGGTACGCTCACCAGGTTATCAACTAGCAATAAACAAGTGTTAACTTTCAATTAAGAGAACACTCAAGAGCTGCCAAACACGACCAGCTGCAGCATCAGTTACTTGACACCTAGACTCCAAATTGGAACTTAACTTTCCGTCATTTCAAGCTCCAAAACCCTGGAATTGCCCCGCTCCCCGACTATTACCATTAACTCTTCGCCATTGCCATCTAGTATTGATATTATCGGCATTAATACTTAGTTACAATATTAATCATTGCATCATGGCTTGTAACAAACGATATTAAAACGGTATATCACTCTTCCGACACGTAATACTCAGTAATATATTGCTATGTAGTAATATTAGTTATCTTCTTTTTCAACTCAGCTAGATAGTTGTTACGTATTTGCACGTCGTCTTGACAATGTCGACGGTCATATATTAAAAATATTGTGATAGGGTGAAGCTTAAAGGAAATCTTTTAGTTCATAAGGCGATGTTTGTGGATTCCTAGAATGGTTATATTCAAAACGAATAAATGTGCCATACAGAATCATGAAATATGTATTATGGCGAAAAGTTAAAAACAAGTTAATGATTAGGACAAAATCTCTCCATTGTCAAAGGTTGTAGAACACTGTAGTTTAGCATGGTAGTGAAAAGGGTAAAGAGGCAAACGAAGGTTATTCAGGACTGACAAAAAGCCAACCTCCCATCCTTTCAGCACGGCTCTCACACTTCAGGATGAGGACAAGGACATGAAGAGAAGGAAAAGGGAAGAGAAAAAAGACCATGCAAAATTAGTATCAACGAGAGCGGATGTTGTTGATTGTTGATCAGTTACACTGGGCCTTGGTCTCCTCTTCTAAGCCTTCCACAACAAAGAGCAAGGGATTGGGGAGTTATCGCTTCTAGCTGCCAGCGATGACTTGCCTGGTACAAAAATGAAGTGTAATTGTTGCACTGCCCTACCCTGTTACTTCATTTCCATGAAGAATGACGCACCCGCGGATGCAGAGAAAGAGCGCTAACAGAAAAAAAATAAGGGAAGGGAAAATCAAGAAAACCTTAATGAAATGGGTTATTCTTTTAATGAAATGGCGTGACAAGTTTGTTTTTCAACTATTTACAAGTTTGTGGGTATGGTGATGATACTGTCAGGTGATACAATAAATTATATGGACTACAATGCACTACACCTCACGAGTGAAGAATTTTGGGATGAGCTACAATCTTTAAAATCATTATCCACAGAGACTCGGCTTCATCATTAGCTTGCCTTATTGGTGATTGCAATGAAATATGCAGAGAGTGGGCGAGATATATGATTACTAGCCTCGCAAGGTGCAGATGTAATCCGGAATTCATTTTTATTTATTCATTGATGTTTTTTACCTTTTTTTATTTTTTATTCTTTTTTTTTTTAACTTTATTCTCTACATTCGTTTGCTGCAAAAATGAACTGGGAAGTGCTGTGGACAAATGAAACAAAATACACACAAGCTTAAACTTGAAAATACAAATTGTGATTTTAAAATAAGGAAGATCTTTTTGTTAATTTACCATTAATATACTTCAGTAATGCACTTACATACAAAGAGGACTTTTATATATATCAAACTAGCTTCCGTGCTCATTTCTGCACACACTAACCACTTTCAAAGGTGCTCATAAACAATGCAATGTACATGATATCCTACTGCTCTAATAAAATAGATATCAATAAATTTTGGTTCACACAAAAATCCATGACAAACTATAACATAACACTTAGTGAGTAGAAAAAAATATCAATCAAACAGAATGACGTATTCATGTAGGACACATGTTTGCTGCACATAACAGGACATCCGGACCCCACCAACCTTATTCAAACACATGGCCACTACACTCTTGAACACCCAGAAGATATATTTTTGTCTCCATAATTATCCTAAACAAAAAAAAGAAAAAAAAAAATCAAATACAACAGTGGCTGTTTACACAGCGATGATTTGTCCCCATCCAGCATTGATAACTTTCCGGGAACTTTTCATTGTTTGTTACTCTTTTAATATCAGTCTTTAACTTGGGACGATGCGGATGAGGAGAAACCATTATTATTCTTAGCCTATGTAGGTTTTTCTTTAACACAAGGAAATGTACAATTTCTGAGAATGATCTGAGGGTTCATCGTGGGAACTGCAGGTACATATACATCGTAAAAGGAAGAGGTTATTATTCAGTCCATGAAGTCTCCAGTCACTTGGTATAGTGTCTGCAATATGATAACAGACAGTTTCATGTGGTTAAGCCAGAGGATTGGAAGGCCTGATTGTCTAATTCAATTTACCTGACAAACTGTATCAAAAAATAAAGAAATTAGGTCACAAATGCTGCAATTTTATTTTTTTTGATCGAAAACAGACTTCCACTGCCTTAATAATGGGGAAAAATAAACAGTTTTCAAAAATGTAGAAGGTAACCATATCTACTTCCAGCAATGAGATCAGATAATGGGAGTAATGTTACAAAACGCACAACATTGGCCTTGGCAACATGTCCACAAAACTTCTTCCTTATTAATATGAAATGGAAGATAGGTCTTGCAGATTTTACTTCCAAAGCATAAAACTATTCACTCTATTAAATACTCTACTTACTATGCTTAATTTCACACATCTAAACACAAACTAAATAAGCTAGTTTAGGTCAGATCAAACACTTTCACTTTCACTGTCCATCCATTTCCCATCTTTCTTACTCCTTACATTAGTTACGTGT